AACTACTCAAGATCAAGCCCCAACGACCCTTGAAGAAATCACAAGCCCAATTCAAGATCAAGTATCCACCACCCTTGAATCAAATCCAATTCAAAATTGAGTCTGTGGAAAGTCCTTTGGAGGAAACCAAAAAAACCCTCCAACCTAATTCAAGATCAAAGCTGTGGAAAGTCAACAAGTGCAACAAAATACTTGCTGATTCATCCATTACCAAAGCCAAAGATCATCTACCATATGAAGCTCCCTGTGGTCCAAATTTCATCCAAGATTAAGCCTCGACGGCCCTTGAAGAAACTTCCACTAATTCAAGAACAAGCCTCAACGACACTTGAAGAAACTCCCAGTCCAACTCAAGATTAAGCCTCAACGGCCCTTGGATCGACATCTACATTAAGGGACTTCAAAACGCATCTTCTACACGTGACAAGCACATGTATACGACGCGCTTTGAAGTGGGGGCATTTGTAGACATTGAACTTTCGGTGAAATAAGTATTGACAATTGTATTAAAATTACAACCCCCATTTATTTCACCTACAACACACACTCATCCCACCTACAAAATCCACTTACTTCACCAAACAAATGGATGGTGGTGATTCATTCTCAAAGCCTATAAATAGGCTTCTCCATCAAGCAATAAGGAGGAAATGGACATACACTTTCTCTACTCCCAAATTGGAAGAGAATTCACACCACACCAAAGCCTTGAAACTTCAAAACTCTAAAGCTCTCAAGCAAATCCCGAAGAATCAAGAAAGCCCTCTTCGTTCTTCGTCAAAATCCTCCTTCAAGACCAAGCCCCAACGACCCTTGAAGAAACTTCCACTAATTCAAGATCAAGCCCCGACGGCCCTTGAAGAAAGTGTTCATCATTCATCATCTGTTCATCCTAAAGATCAAGCCCCGATAGCTCTTTGGATCAACAACATCAACAAATCTACCCATTACAAAGATAGAATCAGAGGCTAAATTTGTAGAAGAGATTGTAACCCCTAAATCATTAATACAAATATTATTTTTCACACGTGTTCTTGTCTCGTTCATTGCAGGAAATCTCGTGTTTACAACTACATCCAAAAAATAAAATAAAAAAATGAAAAAAAATAAAAAAATAAAAAATTTGGAGCCTTCTACGATCGCACCTCTTGCCTGGCTCACGAATTGACCCTCGGATGTGATATGGTATGGTAGCGAGTATTAGATGGATAATCTACCAAAGTATAAAGACAAAATGAAATAGAAGAAAGCCCCATATTCTTGTCTAGCAACTTAAAACAATAAGCATAATAAATAATAGGGTGAAGTATCGATTGTTGGAAGTATGCCCACAAAGCCACTCATTTGATGTAATAGCTTTTTGGAATACTTAATGTATTAAACTTTTATATGTTTAATGAAGGGCAAAGCTTATTGTTGATCACTATTTATTGTATCATGTGTTTAAGTAATAAGGGAATCCAAGGGATGTATTTGATCTAAGAGACAAGTGATCTAAGTGAGTTAGATTATCGAGACCATTCTCTTATGTTCATTCCTAAAACGTTCCTAGCCATAGGATTGCCAATTGGGTATTGACAATCCGCTAAGGTTAGTATGTGTTATGTCGACTCAAGCTTGAGTATGACTAGTCTCAAGTCATTTGGTGTTGGACACTAAGACAAACACATAGGTGCTCGAAAGAGTAATCGAGTACACTGAACAACGATCGAAAGAGAGTTCGAACATATATGTCATGTAAGAACTCGAAAGTTGCAATATGCAAAGTAGTCATTTGACCTGAGGCATCATAGATGTCTAATGGTTAGGTCATTGATCTTTGATCATGTCAACGGCATTCCATCGGAGTGTCCACGGCATTGTTGGGGTCAAGCTATCTAGTCATGTAGGCATATGAATGCACAACAAGGGATCTCTAACCTTCCATGGTGGAAGGAGAATACTCTAAGATATGATTCGTAAGTCTTTGGTCAAAGCAAATGAATATGACTTAGGAAGTTTGTTCCAACTCATATTCAAAGGAATCATATAGAAAAGTATTACATTGGATAGTAGACATGAAACAAACTATCACTTAAACAATGTGATTAAGAGTATTGTATTAGAGAAGGACCGTATTGCATTGTAGTTGTAACTGGATAGGTTCTCCAACCAATTCTACTTCGCTTGGGTAACCATGGCATACTGCTAGGTGTCACTCATGGTTTGTGGAAGCCTTAATGACTAGCAAACACTAATCATAAAGGGAGAATTGAAATGTGGTTTCAATTCACAATCGATCGTTAAGAGTAACAATCGCCCACTACCTCGCTAATTGGGACCTAATGGATCGTACACCGAGTAAGGGCGATAGTGAAGAAATTAAATGAAATGGATATGCAATTAAATGGTTTAATTGAAGAATGGTCAAGATTAATTAATTAGTTAATTAATTATACGAAAGGTTCGTATTGGGCTTTTAAGTTGGTTTTGGGTTTCGGGGCCCAAAAGTGTTTTGGTCCATAAGGCCCATTATGTTTAAGTTGTATGACAACTAAAACAAAATGGGCAATAAGCCCAATCACAACATATAGGCCGGCCATGGTGAGGAGATGGTGAAAGTTTGCTTAATTGCAAGTTTGCCACTCACCAAAGAAAAGTGTTATAAAAGCAACTTTATAGCTATTTTCTCATTAGGGTTTTCTTTGAGGCAAAGAGGTGAAACATTTTCTCTCTTTCTCTCTACAAAGAGGCCGGCCACTTAGGGAGATTAATCTAGCAATCTCTTCTTCCCTAAGTCATCCATTTCATCATCACACTTAACCCTTGGTGTGGAGACTTAGAGACACCAAACTTTTGGTGTTTTGGAGATCCTTTCCTTACATCCACAAAGTTCAAAGGAGCACAAAAGGAGAAGGAAATCACAATCAATATCCAAGGAGCTAAGAGGTGACTTGAAGGCCCTCCACTTGGGTGAATCCCTTGTGTAAACAAGGATGAGCTTCAAGGGTAAAGAAACTCTAAATCTTTACTTCTCTTTAATGTTGTTAAAGAGTTTATTGGTTCACCATATACTAGGCTTTGAAAGTCATGGGTTTTATGAATTGTTTTTTAATGCATGCCTACTTTAAAGTGTTAATAGTATGCATATGTATTCAAATGTTCTTACTTGTTCTTAGCTAGGACAAAATTTTTTCCTTCATCGATTTAGTCCCTAAACTATCACCTCAGTGAAAATTAGATCCATTAATTATTTTTTCAGTAAAATAAGTCCTTAAATTCATTAAAAAATTTTAATTTCATCCCTACTATTATATTTAAAGCTAATTTATTCAATTTTTCGTCAACTGAAGTCACGTGACATACTTTAGAGTGTAATACCGTTCTTTTCTTGCCAATAAGCCCTTAACATTTCATATAAGTTGCGAATCTAATGTCTAATTTACCCTCTAATGTTAACTCGATACACTATTTCTTTATGTAAAAGTATCATCTACCCTCCAACGTGTATCACATGCAAGTAATGTTACAAATTGACGGAAAATTGAATATAGTAACTTCAAATATAATATTAGGGATGTACTTAGTAGATTTTTATAATTTAAGGATTGGTTTTTTTGAAAAAAAAAAAAAACAGTTTAGAAACCTAATTTTCACTTAGGTGATACTAAATTGGCAGTTTACCCTAAATAAGATACTCAAAAGTAAAGGTTTTGCAAATGCTAAATGCTAGGATGCTATCAAGCTCTTGCCACATCATGTGCCACATCACATGCCACATCATCATTTGTGAAATTGTTTTATTGGTCTATGTGTAATATTTGTTAGGAAGTTAGTTTGATCTTTAGCTTGCAACAGTTTATTTAATGTGCCCTTGTGTCGAGCAAAGTATGTTGAAGATATTGATTGTATTCTGGTTCTTGAGTAATAGCAATTATTCTTGTGTATACGAGTCAAGGTTCGAACGGAGTCTAACAATAAATGATTTAGGACACACATTCACAATGTGGATTTCGATCTGCTTCTTCATTTGGAAGCAAAAAATTCTAGATGCAGGCCTCAAATCGTCATGCCTTCTGGTGCCGGCAGTAAAGCGAGGGCAAGAAATGTGCCGAGTTTTAGATAAATGACACTAATTGAACAACTTCTCAAAGAAAAAATAGCAACCAAAACAAAGACTTGAGAACAGTTCTGCGCAAGTATCAAGAGCATAAGAAATATCATGATGTGAAACCAACTTACGTATGTTCCTCGAAAGCTAGCTCGTACAACTTCAAATTCACTGCTTCCTTCCATACAAGAATCACCGTCTAACATATGCATTCGCATAAACAATCAAAAAAGTCCACCGACATGACATAGCACTAAGAAGTTGACTAAGTAACCATCATTGACCAATGAGTTTGCTGATGCATATTGTGTATTAGAAAGCAGCACATATGCTGAAGAATTATGTGGATCTAACTCAATGAGTTTCTCAGCCGCGCGTTGTCCCCTTTACGTATCTCCATGTAATCTACAAGTAGCAAGTATTGTGGCCCAAATTATAACATTTCGTTCAACTGCCTTCCTTGCAGTAAGGATGCTACACGCAGTGAGGATGCCAAGGAATGTGACATCGTCAGGCATAACATGAGATTGCCTCCTGTCATTAAAGATCTTCTGTGAAACCCCATCCTTGATTTATTGTATTTTGTACTATCGAATTTATGAAATCACCATTGTACCCTTGAGTTGAATTTCATTGACAGTCTCGTCGAAACGCGTAGTCTTAAGTTAATTAATTTATTTGTATTGTACTCGTCGTCACAAACGGGTAAGGCGCGAATGGATTCGAAATCGGATGTATAACGAAGATTCTACGTTCAAACTGTTGAACATTTTCGGATATTTGTGTTTCGTTTTATAAATTCTTAAAGTGCGAACCAAGGGGGGGACCCACTTGGGATTCTTGTCCCCTTTCTTCAACCCAATCCAGATTCCCCCTTCCTTTTTGAGATATTTTCTTATCTATCTCTCTCCCTTCCCTTTTAACTCTCCCCGTGCCTTTTCTCTGCGATCTCCCTCTCCTTTCTCTTTGAGTTCACTTTCACAACAACAACAATGCCAAGACTTAAGGCTTGGACGTTGGATCTCGAAACCCCATGCCAAACTCGATACTTCAACTGTGACAGTCATGATGCACCCTTCCCTGACGAACTCCAACGACTTTCATGACTTTTCTGACGTGGGTAAGTTCCTAGAAACCCTTGGGATGTGTTTTAAGGTTAGATCGAGGCTTGTTGTAAGTTGTTTAAGCTTGTTAAACATAGAAATAGCTCGGAGTGAGTTTTCCCCAGTTTTCTGACGAGCACCGCCACTTTAGAGGTGTTTTTCGGCCAATCCACAGTGAGTTAGCCATCGTGCAAGGTACCATTATGTTCATCTCGTTGAGAACTACAACTTTTGTTTTTGTATCACTTGATTTGGTTGAGTATTGAAGAAGTTATAAGCGTTTGAAGGTTTGCCCAGAAACCAGCCATTCCATGGCTTAAAACCGGGTCGACCTGACCTGATAACCCTAAAACCCAAATCCAAACCCAACTGCTACCCAGCCCAACTCAGAGACCTAGCCCACTAAGCCAAGCCCAAACCAAAACCCTTGGCCCAAGCCCAGAAACCAAGCCTAACCCAGATTCCAGTCAGCGTGTAAGCCTGTGCGTGGGCTCTTGTCTTGGCCAACACGTGGAGCACACGTGCCTCCACCGGAGGTACTATGCTCTGCCGTCGTCCATGGCGGCACCGACGACTTTTCTGGCCAACTTTTTGGCGACTTAACTCCGCATGTGGGGGTACCCGAGGTTCCCCCTTAGGTTTTTCGACATCATGAATCTGTTTATGACGTCTGTTTCCCAAAATTCAATTGTTTTAGTATAGTTTTATTAATTGGTCCCTTTATGTGCCTAGGTACGTTTGGTAGTGGCGTTTTCGTCATCCCTAGCTCGCACAACTCTTGAATTATGGAGTATCTGTGAGTGGACCCCTTCTAAAATGCACAATTTTACTATTAGAAATGCATACATGAAAATCATGATTTTATGGATACGTTTTATTAAAATGATTATGAGAAAATTGAATTCATGCTTTATGAAATATCATGCTTCACTGGATTTATGCTTATTGAGATATTCACGAATAATGATTTAAGATATGATGTTTGAGCTATTGAGTTCCATTGAGATATTTACATATATTTTAGAAATATTATGTTCATGTTTTTATTGTGCTTATTCAATGGTTTCTCATACTATGTGCCTACAGGTGAATGATATATATATGGCTTTGGTCGGGTGCAATAGGGGCCTACGGACGAATGAAGATATGTATATAGATATAGATAGATAGATAGATAGATATATATATATATATATATGGCTTTGATCGGGTGATGTAGGGGCCTACGGGCTAATGAAGGCCTTCGAGCGATTCTGATACCACTATTAAGCACACTATATATGATATATGTTTTATGAAGTTTTATGGCATGTTAGGGTTTTCGGAAAAACCTATTACCCATTATACTATTGAGTTTTCATTAACTTTGGGGGTTAGTACATTGATGAATAATTGTTTTAATATTACTTATATATCAACTTAGTTCACTCATGTTTTGTTTTGCACCCCCTCATGACCTAGGAACCAGGCATATGATCTGAGCTACGAGGCATTCCCATACTAGTGACTTTGTGTCCCTTCCGCTGGGACATTCTTGTAATAGCACTTTCTGTTACACCTTCCGCTTGTATTCTAAATTAGTAGTTTGCTCTGAACATGTCATGTACTATCTCTATTATTTTGTTGGTAGTTGAACTTATTATATTATTTTGTTAAGGTTGTATTTGAATATTACATTGCGTAGTTATGCACGAAATTTATATGCATGTTTCACATATTCTCGGCATATGCATTCATAAAATGGCTTGCGTCACCTCGGGTGTCGGCTAGCACGTGGCCATCTCGTTGTCCTTCGGACATCGGGATCAGGACGTGTCATCTTCAAAGTTGAGATTAACTGGTACAAATACAGTAAGAATTAACTAGTAAAACTAACCAAATGCATCTGAAATTTGGAATAAGACACGAGCATATATTAACTAGTAAAAATTACAACTTTAAAGATGTCTAGAAATCATGATATCATCATCCAAGTTGAGCTTGCAGCCTTTGAAAGCACTGAGAAAGTGAAAAAAAATCTATGCCACATTGATGGAAAAAATAGGTGTAAGACAGTTTCCAAAAAAAAAAAAAAAAAGGTGTAAGACCTTACAGGGACAAGTGAGTAGAAAATTTCACAAGTTGAGGCTAGACTAATTAGTAAAATTTTAAGGTGATACATTTTTCTCTCTCGCATTTGTAGGCATCATCCACTATGTATTGATTTGTGTCATCCGAACAAAGAATGCAAGTATGGTCGTACCCAGTGCACAAGGCTCCCGCTTTACGCAGGGTCTAGTAGAGGTGAATGTCGGCTAGCCTTACCCCCATTTATGGAGAGGCTGCTCCCAAGTCTCGAACCCGAGACCTACCGCTCATGGGCGAAGGCACTTGCCATCGCACCAAGTGCGACCTCTTAACAAAGAATGCAAGTATGAAAGAAGAAAATAAATCAGGAAGAAGATGAGTAGTAAGTGGCAAGTGCAGGTAGTAAGGGAGTAAAACTAGCAATATCTGTCTGGTTCTTTTCACCCAGTGGCGTAACACTTCCAGGAGCAGAAATCCTCGAGGACCTCGACGCATTGTCTTCAAATGCTCGTCTTTTATCTAAACTTTCCAAATACCACCAGTGTAATTTGCATTCCACACTTGCCTCTGATACCTCTCTAGTCTTACTTTAAGCTCTGTGCTAAACAAACAAACCTTTTGCAAGTTTCCTGGCATAGCCGCAGAGCAATAGCATTATGCATGCACTCTCCACCACCTTTTATGTGCAAACATCACTGGCAAAGTCCTGCATATATAAAATCTACGTGCATTCCAGTCGCAGTCATAGTCACAGAAGCAAAGCCATACCCAGATAATGGTACATAGAGGATCGAGGCTAATTTCAACACTTTTATCACAGACTCACTCATTGCCTTGCCAGAAATGTTTTAAGTTCATGTGTTTTGGAATCCTGTGCCACCGTGTAATGCCCTGGGTGACATGTGAGGCAAATACTAATTTCGATATGAGGTCTATGTTGTGCACCTAGTGCCTATGTATTGCTTACTTATTGCCTATGTAATGCCTCTTTCAGGAGTTCATCCTCAATGTTGAGGAGCGAAGCTCTGTCCTCAGTAAAGTACACAACAGTTGAAAGATCGATTACGACACACAAGTCATCGAGATGTTGTCTCTATACAATAGAGAAGTCATCGAGATTTTTAAATTTTCCTTGCAATGCATCAACCAAACTACTATTATGGCTTTGTATATAATAAAAAGAAATTAGATGATTTATGAACTGAACAATTGATTACATATGACATAAAAGGTACTTGAGTCTCTAAAAAGCTACAAAGAAATCATAACTTAACATCAATTGCATGGTTGTCTAGCAATTCATCGTCATCTTCTCAACGGGTAAAAATGCTTTTCTTGTCCTTAAGTAGAACCACTTGCCTATGTATTGCTTATTTATTCAACATAATGCCATATACAAACCAAAATGAATTACACGGGTAGTGCATACAAGGAGATATATTAAAACTCAATCATTACCAATCACTGAAGCAGTTGAGTGTGTCACCTGACCTAAATCAAAGGTTCTTCTATTAGGATCTTTGCAGTTTGCAGTAGTCATCCCCAATACATAAAAGCTGTCTGCGAGAAGAATGGGTATCAATTTGAAGTGTCCTTTGGTGCTCCCTTGCTGATAAAGAACTTTGGCAACCTACATGTGAGGAGGAGGGGAAACAGACCTGCATTATGTAGCTACAAAACATCGCAGTATGGCAACCAATTATAGGAAAAGTAAAACAATAAACTTGAACAGAGGGCCTCTAGCACAACAATATATTGGTTTTCTTCTCCACTTGTAAGTAGAGGTTCCAGGTTTGACTCTCATGGACGGCGAGTTCAAGACTTACTTATGACTAGCTTATTGTGTGATATAACCCGAATCCCCTCCCCAAAATCATTGCTTGATTTTTTTTGGGAACTGTTATTAGCACTCCAAAAATCTCATTCTACACTCCTCACAAGTGTATTTTTCTTTCTAATTATAGAAAGTTTGGAGTGCCAATTGTGATTTTTGGAGTGCTAATAACAATTCCCTTTTTTTTTTATTTATAAAAAGAATGAAATTGAGGGCGGGAACAAACAAGGACAGAAATCAGTAGAGTTGGGGGAGGCTGTCAAAATCCTATGCTGGATTTCTTGGGGAAGATTGTGAGATAATACCCCAAGCAGTAAAACCATTGGTTCTAAGTTCTATTTCTGTGTCCAACACCAGTTCACTTATTTCTAGCTGCAATGAACCTAGCATGTGCATAATATGCTTCTCTGCTCAGTGAACTATGAAATTGCAATATAGGAATAGCGCTCCGCTCGCATAAATATACAAGGCATTTAGATATATTATACACCCCTAAATCAAATTTTCCAGTTGGCTTAAAGTTCGATGAGTTGACATTCATAATCTCATTGTCATTTACAATTGCAAACTTAAATGATCAACTTTTCTGGCATAAAATAAAAAATCATTCATCATAATATGCAGAAGAAAGCTTACCAGTAAAGCTTACAATCATATTATACAATGCAATGGAACGAACGAGCAAACATCACAAGGAAACTGCCAAGCAGTTGACGATGGAAGAGCCTTTCGGAACTGAAAGAAGCTTATGGGACCGATCAATGTTTCCCCACAGCTCCCCATCATCTCCCTTTTCCTCCACCTCAATTTCAGCACACCAAATCTCAATTTCTTTGCCATTTCCCTTCCCTTCCCAGAACACAACCAATTTCTCTCCCACATTCGCCATCGTAGCACCGCACAAGAACTTGGGCAGCCCCTTCTCCACACCCTTGAGCTCTTTCCAAGCCCTCTTCTTCACATCAAACCCTCTGATTTTCCCCAAATAGTCATAGCAGTACAGAATCCCATGGACCACACAAGCCCTCCCTCTCCACCCCAAATCAAGCCTTTTCTCAACTCCTTCCCAAACCCCAGTTTTTGGATCGAAAACTACCCCGCCCCGGTCCGCCATGGCATACACGCGGCCGCCGATCATGGCGCTAGCGTGCATCCACTTTCCACGTACCTCAAGTGCAGAACTCGGCACCGCCTCCCAGCGGCCCTTCTCTGGGTCTAGAACCTCAGCCCAGTGCTCGGTCCGGGCCCACGAGTCCACAAGGCAGCCGCCGATGACGTAGACCCTTCCGTCCACAACACCCGCGGCGGCGAACTCGCGCGCCACCCGCATTGGGGGACCCGGTTGCCAGGTGTGAAAGCGGCAGTCGAGGAGCCACACGTGGGATGAGGGGACGTCGTTGACTGAGCCGCCGAGGACGTAGATAGTGGAGCCCAGCACGGCGTAGGCGGCGCCGAGTGATGGGGCGGGGATGGGTGGAACGGGGATGAGAAGGGGAGGGAGGTCGGTGGGGGTGGGGTTGGGGTTGGGGTTGGGGTTTTGGTAGAGTGTGAACCAGGCGGAGGGGTTATGGTGTGAGCGGAGGGTGAGGTAGAGGAAATGTTGGGTCGAATTGAGGAGGGAGCGGGTGGTGAAGAAGAGTGGGGATGAGAGGAGGGAGCGGATGGGTCTCGACACTATCGACAGAGTCGGGTGGTACCAGCGGGGGACTCGGGCTATGCAGTTCAAAGCGACGTCGTCTGGGAGGGATGGGATCAGTTGTGCCGTTGCGGCGGTGGCGGTGGAGGTGGAGGTGGACATGGCTGTGCTTTGTCTCAGCTGATGGTTTATTTGATTAGATTTGGACTTTGGATGATGATATCAGACCATCCCCAACACAAAATTCTCAACTATTTTTCTTCTCCGATACCCAAGTTTCACCTTCTGATAAAATTATGTGTTATGTTGATATGGCCGAGTTGGTCTAAGGCGCCAGATTAAGGTTCTGGTCCGAAAGGGCGTGGGTTCAAATCCCACTGTCAACAAAAATCCTTTTTATTTTTTTCTCTATTTTCCATGTAATTACGTAAGCTGACGTGGAGCTTCGCCACGGGCTGTTGCAGAGAAAATAAGGGAACCGTGTCTGCAGCAGATTGCAACTGAAAGGCACTGCTGCTAACTCAACTCCTGGCGCCAAACCTTATCCGCTCAAAGTAAACAACAGAGAGAGAGAGAGAGAGCGAGGTGCCGCTTGGACATGGCTGCAAAGGCTGTTTCTGCTTCCAGTTTATTGGTAGCCTGCTCCTCTTCCTCCTCCGACTTTCATCGTCCCCGCCAATTGCGAATCGGAGCTTCTTCCTCTGCTGTTCCTTCTGGTGTCGACCTCAACACCCTCCAATCCGCCATTGCAAAGGTTCTCCTTCTTATTCTTCTTCCATTTCGTTTTTCATTTTGCAATGCTGTTAGTAATTTCTCTTAAAAATTGCACCATTAGACGCGGTTAACCATTGCTAAAATCACTCATTGAATTTGTGTAGGCTTAAGTAATTAATTAATGTGCATGGAAGGTATATCGTCAATTGGTTTAAAGTTGGATGCTTATTTTTCTCGAAGAAAAATCAACGAGTTGAATACATGCCCCGTATAATTAGTATTCGAATTAAAGTAGGAAGAATATGATTGACAAGCATGTAATGTATCTGCATTTTCTTGCTGCAGAAAGATAGCAGTGCGGTTAAACAGGCACTTGATCAGCTAAGTGACATTGGTTGGGCCAAGAAATGGAGTTCTCAGCCATATGTCTCGCGGCGTACGGTCAGTCTCCATCACAAGTGTCAAGTTCAAGTCCTCTACAAACCCATGCATACATGTACCATACTTGAATTGATGACGATCATCTTTTCAAAGTGTATTCAATCATGAATCTTAATTACTACACTATTTATTTACCTAATTGTTTCGAGTTCGATTCCTAATTTCAAGTGGATTCAACGTTTATGAATGCGTTGGACCGTGCAGACATCGCTTAGGGAGCTGACAACTCTTGGCATTAAAAATGCAGAAACTCTTGCAGTTCCCAGTGTCAGAAATGATGTAAGTATTACTTGTTTGGGTTGCGATACTTGCATCCTTCATCATAGCTTCTTATCCTTATGGTCTTTTGTGCAAACATTGTCTTCTTCTCTGTCACTGTCTCTCCCTGAATCTAAAATTTATGAATTGTATGAAATATGGGATTTGTATCAGACTAGTTTTCTGTGGGTTGTTAATATTGTTCATGATACGTACAGGCGGCCTTTCTATTCACCGTGGTAGGGACAACGGGATTCTTAGGTCTTCTTGCTGGCCAACTTCCTGGGGTAAATTTGATTATATCTCCTTTTCTCTGTAAGTCCACATATAAATTATACATCAACTATCTAAACAATAGGAATAATTAGGAGACGTTTTCGTATTCCTACATACATACTTATGCAATGATTCTTTTAGGGAATTCTGTAGCATTCTATATTTGAGATGAAAGCATGGATTTTGCTACTTGAACATTAATAGAGGAAAGTTGTCTTTGCAAACCTCCCTCTTTGATCTCGTGATGGTTTTTGAACTTAACGGTCGCATTGTAATGCCCCTTGCATCAGAATATTACTTGTCTCTATAGTGTAGCTTGTTCTGTAAAAGTGGAAGGCAAAATCTCAGTTCCTTTGGTTGTGAATTGATCACGTATTATGCATGTATTGAATAGATGATCAGGTTATATAGCTGCTCGACATTTTCGCTAAACAAAGAAATTAACTTCCGTATGCACACAACTTAAATTTTAATAGAAGATTCAGACTGAATACATGGATTTTGTTTCACCATTGCCGTGTATTTATCAACTGCTTTTTACTGGCATCCATCTTTGTTTCTCTTGCACAATCTGTTGTTGTTGTAGGATTGGGGGTTTTTCGTACCATACTTGCTCGGGAGCATCTCTTTAATAGTTTTGGGTGTGGGAAGCACTGCCCCTGGGTAAGAGCAAGACTAAGATTTTTTGTGTGGAAATGAATTTTAATGCGTCGATGACTTAGTTATGTTTGGCAGTATTTATGAGTTATTACCAAGTTTGAATTTTCTTCCATAAAAATTTATCTGTATCTACTGCACTTTAGGCTTCTTCAAGCTGCGATATCTGGCTTTTCATCATTTTTCCCAGACTATCAGGAGAGAATTGCTAGGCATGAAGCTGCTCATTTCTTAGGTACTTCATTAACACCAGATATTATAAACTTCATAAGTTTTTGTTAGTTGCTTTCTTGGCAATTTTCTTACTGATTACGAATTCTCTCTCTGAATAGTTGCATATTTGCTGGGCCTTCCTATTCTGGGATACTCTCTAGATATTGGGAAAGAGCATGTCAACCTTATTGATGAAAGGCTCGAGAAGCTGATATACAGCGGGCAGCTCGATGCAAAGGAACTAGACAGGTAGGGGCATAGCTACTGGAAGTCTGGAACTTAGCATTTTCCTTGAGTAATATTCCACTTGTGAAACTGCAACAAATGCGCTCCTGGTTCGTTTGAGAATAGTACAGCTTTCCTCTGTAAATCCCTTAAACGAATCGTTCCCTATAAACTGATTCGTTTTCATGCACAAACAGTCCATTTGCATTAAGGTTTACCTGTTACAATGTCTTCACTTCACATAAACTTTATCAAAACAAATCCAATACAGAATTGCAGTCCAATTCTGTCAAAGATGTCATGTGAAATCCATAAATTTTGATGGTACTTTAGGTTGGCGGTGGTAGCAATGGCTGGACTTGCAGCAGAAGGTCTGAAATATGACAAAGTGATCGGTCAATCTGCTGATCTTTTCACTCTACAGGTTAACCACCATTTCCCTAAGACTAATTGTTTTCTTTCAAGATAATATGTTTATGTGACCTTAGTTTCCGAGACTTGCCTGTTTATGTCTTGTGTTCAGAGATTTATCAACAGAAGCAAGCCGCAGCTCAGCAAAGATCAGCAGCAAAATCTTACTAGATGGGCTGTAAGTTCATAATTATAAAACCTCCTGCATACAATAAATTACGCTTTTCTAGTAGTAAATAGTAGTGATGATGCTGGTAACTGTATTATGTATTGCAGGTTTTGTTTGCCGGATCGCTCTTAAAAAATGATAAGGTGATTCATGAAGCCTTAATAACAGCAATGTCAAACAAGGCAACTATCCTGGAATGCATTGAAGCAATTGAGAAAGCTGCTTGATTCATTCTGCTCTGCTGCTGCTGTCGCGAAATCCGACATGTGTCTACTGCTTGATCTTTTTCATACTCTCGTCGTTCTAATTTTGCAGCTATGAAATTTGTGAGTTATCTTTTCGTGCTGGATCACAAGATATATTCATTCAATCTGTATCAAGTAAACCCTAAGGCTACAAAGATTATTATTGTATCCTTTGTATTCCTGCATCTCCATTTACCCGGGACTTATTTGTCTAAGGCCCGGGTGATCAGAAAATATTTTGTATAATGTGGTAATTTGAAATTGCTCGGGCCTTGTAACTCAGTTGATTTAGATTTAGAGAAATGCGTCTTCTCTTTCCTGCTGTGATACAGCTTGTTAATGTTTAAATTGCTGATTCTTTTCTAATAAAGTCGAATCTTCCAAAAAAGAAAGACCCAAAAAAGAGAGGTCCCAAGCACGGATTTCCCTCCTTCGTTTTGAGTATAAGTGGTATTCTACACTAATTTACACTAAGAAAGTTTGAGCCTGGGACGTAGTGGTTTGAAGAGGAAGTTCTAACTATCAGGGCAATCCACCACTTGCATGATCTTCCTCCTCAATGATCTAAAAGACAAGAACAAGGAAATAAACAAAAATCGAGATGGCACTTTATTTTGGTGGAAAAAACACCTACTATGCCCTTTTATTCAACTGCAATTTATACGACTCGAACGTTTTTATTCAAGTTACATAATTTGTTTCATGATTAACATCTGTATATAGATTATTCTGATATAACAAAGTCGACTCATTCATCTGACTTTAGTTCATAACCGAGTGAATGAGAGATAAAATGAGCATCCATAATCTACAGCCGCCCATACATCGACAACATATCCCTCAGTTGCAAAGCTTCTGACTCCAAGTTATCAAAGCTCGTGGAACTAGGTATCCTCCAACCCCAGTTTCCAAACTGCGCATAGAAAGAAAGACCATTGACATGCTTAAACTTTCTGCTCGAAAGAAAAGATTCGTAATATTCTAACTGTTATGTGTGGTAAAAATTAAAATGGTGGGGGGAAAGTGTATAGATAGAAGTAAACGAAAAGCCTAAGTGTTTTCATCTTGTCTCCGACCCCCTGAGTCCCAGTAACACAAATTGGGCTTCCGACAATAAAACAGCAAAGGCTAGGATGGGAGCACTCCAAGCATGACGATAATCTGATTTGGTCTGCACTCACCTGCACTGATCTCTATCCCCTAACCATTCTACCAACCAGGCGCCCGTTACAAATTTATGTGCATCTATGTCTAAACTTTTACTTTATTTACCTGAGTAGCAGGAATGTTCATCCTCGCAGAATTTCCCAACCTAAGAATATCTTGCATAGGTATGATTGCTGTTCGTGCCACAGAAGATAATGCAGCCTTTATGAGTTCCCATGTGATATCATCTTCTTCAGTGATTGAAAGATACTTCAGGACCTGTGATAACAAATAAAACTTTATAGGCACAAGAAAAAGAAGCTAAATCTTGTTCAACATGTAATGCATAGTTCCGTATGCCAGGGAGAAGTTTCAACAACAAAAAGGAAAAGAAAACCCCACATTGGACTTCTCTCCTTGCTTCAAAACATCCCACCAACCTCGAATCTGTAATACAATAACATAAACTATTAGAAGGGGAAAAGAATAATCAGATGTCAGAATCATATGGGATCGGAAAAACCACTACAGTATTTTAC